CTAAAGTCATATGTGCACCATATGGTTCACATACTAAATTTTATGATCGTATTAAAAAAATATATGGCTCATCAAACATAAAAAAATGTATATCTAACATATATCATAGCCTAATAATACAAAACAAGGGACCTAAAAGGGACATTTCATCAAACAGGTAGAGTACATCGCTATGGGGTGGTATTTGTGAATACAAAACAGGGGACCCAAATGGCACCATTTTTATAAGGTATGTAATATTGTTGTGCCCCTACATAGGAGCCATCAACTCCTATCACAACACTATGGATGTAAGGATTGTATGGGTTATATGGAGACTGTGCATATCCATAACTAGGTTTAATATAATACACATAAGGCATAATTTTTGTCTGTGTGCCTTGAACAATACATAGTAGGAATTATGAGCGATGAAAGATTAACAAAAGTTTTGAAAAACAAAATGAAAGAGTTGGTATGCTTACTACGAACTTAATATTTTAACCATCCACACCAAAAACTATAAAGTAGTCATCCCAATCACCTGGTGATTCCAATTATGTTAAACACATGACAGAGTCAGGTACTGCAAGGTATTAACTTTATGTTGAAAGTTAAAAAAGAAATTAGAAACATACATGTACAAATAAGGTCGTAATTGGTAGCAGAATTATAATATATGCCTTAATCAACACAAATTTGGGGTGCTTTCGTTATACATAACTTCAAGTGGTTCAAGAACACTATTTGTTAATTGTGAATTTGGGTCAGTAGTGCCTTGAATATTGGAGGAATGAAACATCATAATCAACTTGAAATTGTAACTTGTAAATGTAACACACGATTCAAGGTACTTTTCATTTTTGACTCTTGGTATGTAAATATATTGCAGATTTGGTCCCTAGGGGACGGTTTTGCCATTTTTGAAAATCTGGGAGTACGTGGGGGCGTACTTCTCGTATGCAGGGTGTACACACCTAGGGGACAAACATTAAATTTTAGGGTTTGGACCCTATTTGAACAACATTATGACCCATGATCCTCTCATTTCTCAACCTCCATAGCCCTTCGAGTCCCATTTCGAAACCCTAGCCCCTCTTGAGGAGATTTGACCCTCTTGTGTGTGTTTTTAGTGTATGTTGGTGAGATTTGAGGAAGAAGAGCTTGGAAGAAGGAGCCTTGATCAAAGGAGGACTTGTAGATCCAAACTTCACACATCATTTCCAGCTTCATTGATGTATAAAGCTTGGAACTTGCTCATTGTATGCTTAGATCTAGTCTTTATGAAGTTTTGGTCCCTTTTTGGTCATATGATGAGATCTAATGGGTTTCTTCCACTCTAGAAGTTAGAAGTTACTTCTCTTGATGTTTCTGAGGTCCTTAGTCCATAAAGTTAGCATCTTGATGGTTGTGGATCAACCATGCATGTGTTTAGGTCCATTTGGTGAAAGTAGAATGCTACAGTAAGGTTTGGGTTCTTTTGAGCCATGAAAAGGCTCCAAGTTCATGACTTTATGGATTAATACGTTCCATAAGACTTGTATCTGAAGTTGGACGAAAAGGTATTAAGGGAATAAGACCCTAAGTTGGATTTTGGGACTCTGGCCAGTACGACGGGCGTACTCTGTAGTACGCTGCGCGAATTGGGTCAGCAGGCCGTAGGTTGGGTCAACGCGCGTACGCGGTGCGTACGAAGAGTATGCAGGGCGTACACTGTGATTGGGCTTCTTTTGTTTTGGGCCTTCTTTTGGACTTGGACTCCCTTTGAACTTTGGGCCTTAGCTGGATTTTAGGCTTTATATCTGTTGGGTCATAGTTGGACCTTAGGTTTATGGGTTGGGCCATTATTGGGCCTTGGACAACTATAGGGTTATTGGTTCAAGCTAGTTGGGCCCAGTAAGGGAAAGGGTAGAATAGGCTTTTACCTTAGAGGCTGAGGGTGTTGGGCTGGGGACCCTTGTTATGGTTTTTGACCTAATTATTAATTAGGGTATTGTTTGATTGTTTAGCGCGGGGATTTTCTGGGTCAGCAGTCCGAGTATTTATCTGATTTTCAGCAGTTTGAGGCGAGTCTCCTCACTGTGCTTGGCGGGTCGAAGGCACCAATGTCGGCCTATGATTTATTATGATTAGGATGCTAGTTGTCTGTGTGACTCTTGCATGAGCAGTATGTGATATGTATATCGGGCGGGGTCCGATGCCAGGCGGGGCCTGATGGGTGTATTGTATGCTATTTATCTTAGTGATTCTTGCATGTGTTTATAATGTCGGGCGGGGCCCGATCCAGGCGGGGCCTAATGAATGTGATGGGTGGGGTCCATCTCATGTTATTGACTGATTTGTTCTGAGCGAGGCCCGATGGTTGTTGGGAATGGCCCATTGTGTGTTTGATATGTATGGTATGAGGTATTTTGGGGAACTCACTAAGCTTCGTGCTTACGGTTTTCAGTTTATGTTTCAGGTACTTCCGGATCGAAGGGGAAGAGCTCGGGATCATCGCATCGCACCCATCACGACATTCGTTTATTTGACTCTGATGTATTGAGATGATTGAATGATATACTTTGATTTTCTTTTATGGTTTTATGAACACGTTTTGGATGATGGTTTTATTATTATTAAAATGAAAATTTTGGTCTTAAATTTTAGGACGTTACAGTAACTATACATATATGTTAAATATTGATATTTTTAAGTTACATTATGTTTTGATATTCTAGGTTTAATTACCAGGTAAGCATGTGCACTTCCATGTTTAAGAACATTATATACACCCATTCCAGGACTGCCACCACTATAAAAACATACATGGTACAACTCAAACACGTTCTTTTTTTTTTTTACACGTATGATTATAACCATCCATATGTGAGATAATTCTTTCTAGAAGATTTTATAATCTCATATACAAGTCATGAATGGAGTTCTATAACAAGACACAAATGTAGCAAATATGAAATCTAACCTAATCTTCTTTTCATCAAATCATAGAAATATAAAGGGTGGAGGAAAACATATATAGAAACCATTTCCAACATTCAAAAACATTCAAGGGCCCAAACAAATGTCTATAAATCTTATACAATCTTCAAACTTGGTAAATTCAAAGAAGTTAATAAAGAGAAGGAATCTAACAAACATTATACTAAGCCTACGATGCTCATAACACTGATTATTAAATATATTTTATTGCTTCCATTTGCTGAATTTGTGAAAGCTTGAAATTGTCCACTTCACAACCTATTACTACCGAGATATTCCTCACCTGATATAAATATACACCAACTCTCAATATAGAGTCCCATGAACAATCTAATGTCTCTTTCACTGTCATCTCCAAAGCATGGGAAATATACGAAATTATATAACCATAAGTTCTTTGGGGAATAAACATAATATTAAACATTCCCACATGCGTGTTTCCAAATGCCAAATACCAAGTCTAATTGATTTGAGATAAAAAATTTCAAAGTTTAAATAAATATTGTGAAAAAATGACTTACTTTAAATCATAATCAAGTTTCATTTCTAGTGCGACCAACAATGTAGTTTTGCCTCCACCTGGTGCACTTAAAAGCAATGCCAACCTGCATTTAACCATGATTACTATATACCATCCCAAGGAGAAGACTAAAAAACGAAATGAAGGTTTGAGAGAGAGAGAGAGAGGCAACCTAGAATTGGATGAAAGCAAGAGGAAACAAATGAGCAGGTGTAAAGAAAAAAAATCATGTGACAAAATATTATGAGAGAATATGGAGAAATCAATATCTGAAAACCTAAACATCCTTACCTTTTCAGGTAAACCTAAAATCAACAATCTTTACCAATCAAGGACGTGACCTTACGATTTTATAGCGGTGGCTGATATATATATATATATATATATATATATATATATATATATATATATATATATATATATATATATATATATATATAGAGAGAGAGAGAGAGAGAGAGAGAGAGAAAGAGAGAGAGAGAGAGAAAAGTAATTATCGTTGATACAAAGATAACAATGAAATATGATAACTAATTTCACTTAAGGAGTTAGTTGCTGCAACTTACAATTGTTCATTTTTTGAAGTTTGAATTCAATCTAGCAACGATTCCCTTAATTCTTGAAAGCAAGAGTATAAAGTAGGATTTTGTTCATCAAAATTGAAACATGTACATAGTGGTATACGATTGGATGTTATCATACTCCCATTATTATCGACTTCTATGATTTAAAATAGTAAGAACGATGGCTTCGTATTTATATGCTGAGCCGTCTTAGAAAGCTGGTGTGTGGGAAATAAATTGCATGAAGCATAGGGGAGGGGGGGGGGTGAAAACCATGAAAACGAACGTGGGAAGAAGAAGGAGGGTTGTCGGATGTGTGTGAGGTCTGTGAAACACAAAGAAACAGCCATAAATATCTGTAAATATGGAGTTTAAGTGGCCATGATTGATTATGATTTCGATGTAAGGGATGACATTATGGCGACGGTTATCCACTACCTGTCGTCAATAATATATACAATATCACTTTTGATATATTATGAACTGTATAATTTGTGAAACTTAAATTATTCTTACAAATTCTATTTTACACAACCATTTTATAATTATACATAATATAATATAATAACCGAACATACCCAAATGAACATAAACGAACAAACATAAATGAATGTCTATGAATGCAAATGAACGAGAATGAGACGATTATTCATGTTTGTTCGTTTTAATCAAAACGTAAACCAATGTAGGACTAGCCCACTTGGTAGAGGTGAAAACCTCTTAGATTGGAGATCCTAGATTCAAACCCAGACGTATGCGAATTAACTAACTTAATGAATTTAACCTCTAACCACTTACAAACCGTTAAAAAAAACCAAAATTGATGTAAAATCTTGTTTCTTATTCATCAAATTTATCAAAAGAATAAATGAACGTTCATTCATCCAACGGTTCCTCGAAAAACTAAAAACTACAAAATCTAAATGGAAGTTACTTTAAAGAAAAAAAAAAAAAAACAATCACACATTGGATTCAATTGAACACGCCCCTCTTCACCTTGTAGCGTCATAGCAATATACCATATGAATAGCTTGACCGCTTCAGGTCTTGCATCTCCGATCCTTTTTCCGGCCACTTCCTCCATCTAAGTACGCCCAAATACTCTTTCACTTATGTATCGACGCACATTCATCAATCTGATACACCTGTTTATCTCTATATCTCAACATCGAACTTACGATTCGCCTGCTGAGACAGATTATTCGCGCTGCAGATTGATTTCAGCAGCAACGTTATTTGATTTGTGAGCTTTTTCATTAATTTATTGTTTATATACGGAGCTTGATCTCGTTTTGTATTCGTGAAGGCTTTGATCTAGCAGTTAAACAAGAGTTTTTACAGAATTTTTTTTGTTCTAGGGTTTCAAATTTGGCTTCGTCTGTTTCTTGCGTTACCGTAAATTAATTTCGAAGAGTTGGTGATTGATTGAGTGTCTTTTGAGTAGAGATATCCAAGAAATTGAAATCCGTGAGTTAAATTTAAAACTACTTCGCCTGCCAGGAAAAAACGAATCCATAAACTTTCATGTTTTAGCTTTTTTTCGAGCAAAAGGTTCCAATATATCTATCGGTGTCGTAGGGTTTTAGTAGACAGTGAGCTCTGGTTCTGTAGATTCAAATTCTGAAAGGCATGGCGTCATACAGGCCGTTCCCTCCACGACCTCCTCAATCAAATTTTGGTCCACCGCCACCACCTGCCCTGCCCAATCTCACCTCTCTTCCACCTCCGCCACTTGCCCCTCCGCCTCAACCAAGAGGAAATCAGTATTCACAGAATTGGGGCTATACTAATTCGAACTTTCAACAGGGTGGTTATGTGGCTCCATCTGGAAACCCTGTTCCCAATCAACAACAGTTTGCATCATATCCACCTCCACCACCACCAGAGTCTGCATATCCACCGCCACCACCTCCTTCCCAGACTGCACCACCAGGGCAAATGTATTTTCCATCTTCTCAGTTCTCCCAGTTACATAGCCAACCTCTACAACCGCCGCTGCAACCACCACCACCACCACCTCCACCTTCCTCTCCCCCCAGTTCTTCAGTTCCCCCGCCTCCTCCCCCACCATCACAACCACCATCACCTCCCCCACCCCCTTCGGCTGTCCCTATAAATAACCAAGCCAAGCAAAGCAGACACGATAGTTTTAAAAGGCCTTCCACTGAAGTCGAGAATTCTAAATGGCGTGATTCATCACATTCTCATCACGCAGGTCCTTCCAGACAACATTCTAAGCCTTCTACTTTACCTCCTTTGCCAGCAAGAAAATCAAATGGCCCTCCTGGTAGGGTTGAGACTGAAGAAGAGAGGAGGCTGCGCAAGAAAAAAGAAATGGAGAAGCAAAGGCAAGAAGAAAAGCATAGGCAACAGGTGAAGGAATCTCAGAGTAAAGTCCCCCAAGAGACCCAATTGTTATCTTCAGGCATCAAGCCACATGGTTCAGTTAGTGGCTCCCATATGGGCGATAGGAGGGCTACACCATTTTTGAGTGGTGAAAGGGTAGAAAACCGGTTGAAGAAGCCAACAACCTTTCTATGCAAGTTGAAGTGAGTATGTCATGAGTCATGACACCAAGTTTTTATTTTGTTTCTATCTTCAAGCAACATACCACTCAATTTCCTTAATTTGTTGCGAATTATTGTTGCTTTGTTTTAATTGCGGTCCTTTTTAACTCCATTGACTTCATGATATGGAATCTCTTTTAGTCGGTATATTTGTGGCAGTAGTTTTGCCTGATGCAATTTAATAATTCTTTTTCCTTCTAGATTTATATGATCCTGAATGTTCTTTACACTTTTGTGCTATTTGAAGATTCCGGGATGAGTTACCAGATTCAACATCTCAACCGAAGCTTCTGTCTATAAGGAGAGATAAAGACCGGTATGCAATTTACTCTTAATTAACTTATAACCTATATATGCATTTACCTACATAACCATAAAATGTTTAAACCATGTTCTTGTACAAAGTTCCCCCAGTTAAACATCCTGGTTGCTATGGCCCATGGGCCATGGGTAAAGAGTACAAGACTAATTGGCAGGTGCTTTATTGTTTGAGACTACCAAACAAGATTTCGTACAAGCTTTTGAAAACAAAACCACCAAATATAGATATAGATATCATAATATCTTTGAGCCTTTTTTCTCTGCAGTTAGAATCCCAAAACACATAGAAATGATTACTAAAACAAACTAAATCACGCTATACTACGCTTTACATACCACACACTAGTAAACACATTACTCTAGTTACAATAATTCTATCAATTCCACCTAAAATCATAACTTTGCATTAAAATGGAAACAAAATGCTTTAAGAGACAGCTTATCTTTGTTCATGAAATATCTTCCTTGATTCTTATTATGAATCCAAGTTCGCATGACCAAAAATCTTCCAAATATATCCTCCAAAAAATTTGTTCGCTCCTTCCTCTTTCACACATAACTTGGCAATAATTAATTATTGTTACACAGAGTACTTGCATGAAATTAAAATTACTGTAATACTTTCATTCAAATTCAAAAATAAATTGCCTGCATTGGGTAGTTACAGGTCTTTCTGATGGTGGGTCTATTTTGAACAGGGTTAAAATCTTCGATCGAAATAGTTAAAAAAAAGAAAATCTATTTGTGCATGGCTATATATTTTTTTATGTATATGATACATCACTGGTAGTTACATATTTTTAAACTTTTGATTTAAATATCTTTCTTATTCTATGTGAAAACTAGTTTAAAATAACACACAAAACCTGTTACCTGTAAAACAGTTATCAACCTATCATATGTTATCTACTTTTATCATCTTCTCAATCTAATAAAAACATAATAGTAATATATACTACTTTGAGATAATTTCAACTAATGGATAGATAACAAACCACCTATTCAGTTTCAATTTATGTGGGTAGCTCTGCCTCTGTGTGACAAAAGAACTCAATATTTAAATTTGATCCGACTGCTGAAAATCATTAGAAACATTACATTACATAACTACACCCCTTTTTTGGGTACTCTATACTTTTTTGTAATCATTGCTCATTTTGCAATTTTCAAGTTCTATATATATAAACTGGTAATAATGTTAGAAATAATATATATATTTTTTGTCAGAGCTGCGAAATACGGTGTGACTTCATTAGAAAAGGTGCATAAGGCTCAGTTGTATGTTGAGGCAGACCTTGGGATACCACTTGACCTACTTGATCTGAGTGTATACAAGTATTACTTCTTTCTGTGTTTGTATTTTTCATAAAAAAAAAAAATGAACTCTCCTCCGTAATGCGTATATTATATTTATATTTATATTAGTGGTGGGACTGGGAGGGATGAAAATCAGCATATTGCCCCTGAAGATGAGAGACTGTTGGTGGAAGATGTGTGTGTGACCCCAACAAAAAAAAACGGGTTAAAAAGAAAAGAACGTCCTACAGATAAAGGCATGTCTTGGCTTGTCAAGACACAATATATATCTCCTCTTACCACCGACACCACAAGACAGGTTGGTTGCTTGCTTGCTTTATTTATGATATGTAAATATATATATATTTTTATAATTTTTCTTTGCAGTCTTTTTCTGAACAACAAGCAAAAGAACTACGGGAAAGACGTGGTAACACCTTATTAGACAACCACAATAGTAGGTATATAATTTTCAATTTTCAATTTCTATATCTATATCTATATCTATATCTATATACTCCCTCCTGAATATATATATATATATATATATATATATATATATATATATATATATTTTATTTTAATTGCAGGGAAAGGAAGATTAAGGACATTAAGGCTTCATTTGAGGCTTGTAAGGCGCATCCTGTTCATGCAACCAACAAAAAACTACACCCGGTTGAGATTTTGCCATTATTTCCTGATTTCGAACGGTACAATCAATAACTTTATTTCTTCATAATTACCCTGTTACCCTTTTAAACTTATATAATTTTGATTTGCAGGTGGGATGATCAATTTGTTGTTGCAACATTTGATGGTCCTCCTACTGTGGATTCAGAAAGCTACAATAAAATGGAGAAATCTGTTCGAGATGCCCATGAATCTCAGGTACTTAAAAAAAACTTTGTTGTTTTGATTTTGACTTTGACTAATTTTGAGTTGATTTTCCAACTCAGGCCATTATGAAAAGCTTTGTAGCAAGTACCTCCGACCCTGCTAAACCCGACAAATTTTTGGGTTACATGGTTCCTTCGGTTGGTGAGGTAAAGTAAAGTTAGTTAATTTTGTATTATTTATTTATTTATTTATTGTTTTGTAAACTAATATGTAACGTGATGTGTACAGCTGTCAAAGGACATGCACGATGAAAATGAAGATATATCATACACGTGGGTTCGTGAATATCGTTGGGATGTATGTGTTCATTACTTCTTCTATAAACTCGTTGGTAATAGTAGTAGTTTTTGGGTTGAGAAAATAATATATGATTTTTTTTTTTAAAGGTGCGGGGTGAGGATGTGGACGACCCTACAAATTTCCTTGTGGCATTTGGTGAATCAGAGGCTCGTTACATGGTATTATTATAAATTATAAACTATAAATAAATGGATTTTACTTTTTTAGATATTAATATGGTTTGCTTGTTTTGTTTTGTTTTGTAAATTCATCAGCCTCTGCCAACAAAGCTTATTTTAAGGAAAAAGAGAGCCAGGGAAGGAAAAACAAGCGATGAGGTTGAACATTTCCCTGTTCCTGCAACTATCACAGTCAGACAAAGGTCAACCGTTTCAGTTGACATGAAGGAATCCGAGGTTTTGTTTTCATTCATTTTTATATTATTATTATTATTATTATTATATCTTTGTGTTTATTTATATTCATTATCATTATACGCTCTCTATTTGTTGCAGGGTTATATGGATTCGAAAGGGAGAAGTTCGAATGCTAGACATGACATGGAAGATGATGGTGATATGGATCGATCAAGTGGGGGCGAATATGGTTTGTCGGATTGATCATCCATCTAGGCTAATTATGGAAAAAGATTAACAAAACTGTTAAAAGGAACTGGAAAAATAGAATGTAAACAATCTGCAGGAGGTGTACCAGGTAATTCTTTTTTCTTACCTTATATTTATATGTCATCCTTTTTTTACCCTTTTGCTGTTTGCATTATTATATTTATATCACAACATTCAATGATGTTATTAAAATGTGTACATTACATTATTAAGCATGGTATAAGTATAAACCAGACCATGTAATGCAGTTTTAGCAAAATTTATATATACTACAGCATTGCTTTCGAATTGTTTGGTTCACCATGTGTGTGTGTGTGTGTATATATATATATATATATATATATATATATATATATATATAATATAATAAAGTGATCATTGTTAGTATTTCATTTGATATTGCTTCTAACTATAAAAAAAATTAATTTTGACTATCAAACCTTATTGTGAAGGTGCGTTCTCGTACATATCTTGTTGCTCACTTGATAAATTTTGTCGAGTGCAAGTAGGATTTTACCAATTGGAATGGAAAGTGGTATTGCAAAGTTTAGAGAAATATCATTTATGTGTATATAAATTATAAGAGAAATTAAATATTTTTAATTTTTTTCTTCCTATTCATCCTCCTATCACTTTTAGATGACGACAAGTGTAATAAAATATATTAATTTTATTAAATAGAACAAATGTCATAATCATAAGTGTTAAGTGTTGTAGGAAGATAGTAGGAGGAAAAAATAGGAGGATATTTGATTTCTCAAACTATAAACTATTGTAAATAGTAAGTTGACTGTGAGACTTTATGTCCAAATTTTGACATAATTAAAGAATGTTCTAACATTTTATATGCTATATTTTACACCAAAAAGATATGCTTTATGTCCAAATTTTAAATAAATATGCTTGCAATATTTTTCGCTAAAAAGATACATACAAAACATTTTCCGAGTACCTTATAAGTGGGGCTTTTCTAGAAAACGGGTTGGCTAGAATTGAAGGATTGTGTGAAATGCTGGAAGTTCTTAAAAATGCAGCATCGCTACTAGTTGTTTAGTACTTAAAAACATTTACCTAAGACTATGTTTTAAAAAAAAACATTCCCTAAAACATCCACATACACAATCTCAACCAAGTTCATATTTTTACCACTTATCAACAACCTAATACATAATACAGCCAACAATACAATTTATATAAGATTTTATGATATATAAAAAACATATCAATATAATACTTTATTTAAATAGAGAGTTAAAATCCACGAATTTTAATATAATTATATTTGGTTGCACTAAATGCTCAAATATATAATTTATTTATTTTTTGCCACCAAGATTGTTAGACTATCCCCGTTAACAATCCAACCCAACCTAATTCTTTTATAAAAAACTAATTCCTCTCTTCCAATTATACAACCCAATCTAATTAGAGACACTCATTAACAATCAAATCCAACCAATTTTATATTTATAAAACTATATCAATATTGGTCTTATTTTGTAGAGAAAAATAAATTAAATATTTTGATATATTTTATTTTATTTTTTATTAAAAATTAAGTTTATTTATTAACAAAATATAGCTTTTGATATAAAAAGTAATTGATTTCATCTAACAAAAGTGGACACGTAGACATGAGCATTATTTCCAATCTTAGACGAGCGAAAGGGCCTCGGCATGAGCTAGCTCATTAAGGATGGGAAAATACCGGTAATAGTCAAAAAATAGGGGATAATTTTAAAATTTAGACATGAAAATGGACATTTTCGGGTATAGACATGCATTCCGCGGAGGTAGCTCCGCGGAATCTACTGTAGCTCCGCGGAATGGCAAAATCGTAAATAAATTAGTGTATTAAAAAAAAAAACTCAAGATCCATTCCGCGGAGTTCCGAGGAATAGATCTTCAGTTTTTTTTTTTTTTTTTTTTTTTCAAATCGATTTTTCGGGATTTATATTCAATCCCCCAACTAATTATTTTCAAGAAAAGATTATGATAGTATGAATTTTTTTTGACAATGTTTCGTAAGAATGTGATGTGAAAAAAAATTGGTCTTTTAATTAGAGATCATTACATAAAAGAATCATTGGAGGAGATTTTTTTTTAATCGATTTGAAAAAAAAAAAAAAAAAAAAAAAAAAAAACTGAAGATCCATTCCTCGGAGCTACCTCCGCGGAGCTCCGCGGAATGGATCTTGAGTTTTTTTTTTTTTTTTTAATACACTAATTTATTTATGATTTTGCCATTCCGCGGAGCTACAGTAGATTCCGCGGAGCTACCTCCGCGGAATGCATGTCTATACCCGGAAATGTCCATTTTCATGTCTAAATTTTGAAATTATCCCCCATTTTTTGACTATTACCGGTATTTTCCCACTAAGGATTGCTTAATTTTCAATTTTTTAATATATTTTTTCTGACAAACCGCTCACAAAAAAACACCCAATAGTCTTAGTGGCAATCAGAATCCCGATGTAAAAGTCAAAAACCAGGTCAAAAACCACTTTTACTTTCACTAATCCAATTTCATGGGATTTTAGATGATGATTACTTATTCAATTTACATATTATATTTATTGGTGTTGTTATACTGATTTATTAAAAATTTCATTTATAACCCTCTAACATATATTAAATATTTTATAATTTATACCTTCAACTATTAAATATTTTATCGTAGGAATTAACATATAACTAGTATTTTGTGACCTTGCGCGTTGCGGCGGAAAACACCTTTGTAAAGTGAACCACAAAAGCATAAGATAAAATTTCAACCGAAACAATTATGCATGGGGGATGCGAGTAAAAATAATTTTTAACATTGTATCTTGATTGGTACACTACATAAACGACAATTATTTAAGATATTATAATGATAAAAAGCAAGGTTCTAAAAAGCTCGTCATGACCCGCCATGACTCAAAGGCTTGTAGTTGCTGCCGAGTTTTGACAAATTACCGCCTTAAGTCATATATGTATATAAAAATGAATAATAGTAGAAAAAATATATAAAATTATTAATTATATACAAATTTTCCGCCTTATGTCACGCCTTACAAACGACGTGTCTCGCCATAGCTTAAAAAATTTTGAGGTTTGACATTGTCGCCAAGTCACGCCTTACATAATTTAGAACCTTGATAAAAAGTAATATTTATAAAAACAAAAACTATAAAACAAATTATGTAACAGACCAAAAGCGTAACTTAAAAATATAGTAAGGGACTAAATTTATAACTTACAAAATACCAAAAATTTAACTTTAAAATTATAAGGATAAAAACTGTTAGATAAAAATTAGTTTAGGTTAAAGAATGTAAAAGCAAATGAAACCTAAGGGCTGCAAATGAAAAAACAAATGAAAGTGAAAATAGGAAAAAGTGAGTAAAAGAAACCTCTCTCAACTCTCTCACGGGACGGGGGTAAAAAATGTAAAACCAAATAAAGCTTAGGGGAGAAAAATTAAAAAACACAAACAAAATGAGGAAACAAAAGAAACGGCTGATTTGCTTACATGTTCCATTGTTTCAAATCAAACGGCTAAAAGAAAAGGATTTTGCTTACGACGGAATGAATAGTGAATTGTCTCATATAACTATTTTGGTAATATATATATATATATATATATATATATATATATATATATATATATATATATATATATATATATATATGTATAATATCTCAATATTATTTTGTATACCCATGAAATCTATTTTTGTATAATTACATAATTAATTTTATTTTGTATAATATCTCAATTTTATTATAGGGATTTTCATATAATATTTCAATTTTAAATTTTTCATTAAGTTTTAATATTAACGATATCAATCGGGCTGCAAGACGAACCTAATGAACATGAATAGAGATTTGTTCATTTAACTTTAAACGATAAATAAAGATCACGACCAATTAGACGAACAATAAAAAACATAATATAATATTTTTCACAACTATAATAAATAAAATTGTAATTTTCATTTACCAACGTTTTGTCAAACATTGTCATATTTTAATTTTATTAATTATTAGGAAATCAACTACATGAACATTACAATTATTACGTGGTGCATTCGGTGAAACATATGCATTAAGTCGATCATTATACAATATTTCTTATCCAGGAGAACGTTCTGATCTATTGTGATGCCAAAGTGACAAAACTGTAGATTCTTGTAAATCAACTTTTATGTAATAGTCATTATGAATGAAAGGCGAGAACAATAGATCTATGATGTGGGATGTCTTGCGGATCATGCCAAAGTGGAAAACAGGTCGACAAATCTTGTTTGTCTAAAAAATAGACGCTTACACCATACTTATTAGCAATGAGGAATCCAGTTTCCGACATGATCAACCAATATTCATTTTGTGTAGAACCCAATCCAGTGAAACTCAACGAGTGATTTGTTCAAATTCCTTGAAAATTATTTCAAGTGCATGAATTGAAACATTACCAACCAAATCTTTGAAAATTGGATGGACGAAACGATGTCATGCAATAATCATGCTCCGTCCTAAACTTGCTTTAGCATAATCTTGTGACCAAAATGAAGAAATTCGTCGGTCCAAACAGATACAAACTTTTCTTTATATTGTGTCAACCACGTTTTCTTCAAGTAAGTAATAACTTCTGAAACATAATACACTTACATAAATTTATATATATATATATATATATATATATATATATATATATATATATATATATATATATATATAAACTAACAAATCTAAAAGATATGTTAAATAAATACCTTTATAGTCCACCAGAATGTTTTCCGGTCTTTATAAAATGAGGTCCAACAACGACGATACACTAAAACGTTTTGTATTTTCTCTTAATTCTTGTATTGATATGTCATCTACAAAGTAATCCTTTAGTTTTTGGAAATACATTATTGCATGCTTTCATGCAAGCTATGTCTCTATCTGTGCCAATTACACGTGGAAACATGTATCTATCTATTGTTGATTTTAAACACTCTAGTGCCTAAGTGTAGTTGGATTTCGTTTCCTTATGCATGTGGACAAATGCTACGCAAAATGTATGATTAGTTGGAGTTACACCAACTATTTCAAGGAGGGGAGTCTCATACCTGTTTGTTTTGTATGTCGCATCCATCAACATGACATGTGGGAATGCTCGTAGTGATATTCATTTACATCTCACTAAAATAAAGATGGGGTAATTATTATAAATGTAAGGTAACTTAAAGGACCATAAATGTAAATATAATTATATTATTTTTATTTGATCGTAGTGGTACTCATTTACACTGCACTGAAATAAAGATATGATATTTATTGTTAATGTAGGATAAGTTAAAGGACCATAAATGTAAATATAGTTATATTATTTTGATTTGATCGTAATGGTATTCATTTACGAAATAAAGATATGATATTTATTGTAAATGTAGGATAAGTTAAAGGACCACAAATGTAAATATAATTATATTATTTTGATTTGATCATAATGGTATTCATTTACGAAATAAAGATATGGTATTTATTGTAGATGTAGGGTAAGTTAAACGACCATAAATGTAAATATAATCATATTATTTTGATTTGATC